TAGAAAGAAGGGTCAGAATCAAAAAATTCTTTCGACACGTTTCTTAGAATAGCTTATATTTGGATATAAAAAAGTAAAAAAAAAGGGTGATAGGCACTTTAATATGTAATTATATATACTTATTTTTCATGAAAAATAACATATACAGCTATACCTTAAAGATAGACTTTTATTTTAAGAATATATATTTATTCATGTTATTAAGTAATATGAAATAGTTAATATGCTATGACAAATCATGATCATTGACACTGTATGCAAGACACAGTAAAGTACTGTACCATGATTACAGTATGATGCTATCCGCATATTGTTTTTTTTTTAAGTCATATTGCTTATTTACAGTGAGGATGCCACCAAAGAGTTGCCTGATCCCACTCCAGTACCTAATGTAAGTTTATCAAACAGTGCTGCAGCATGTAGCATAAATTTAGAATAACAAAATAATAACTGTCCTGTAGCTTAGCATTTTAATTAAAAGGTAGTGTACATAACTAACGGTATCCGTAGGAGGGCATGTGTACATGTATAGTGTACATTAGTTTTCTGCTGTTATTATCAATACTGACTATACCTTTGTCTTCAGGTGGAGGAAGTACCAATTCCTTCCTCAAGCAAAGCAAAAGAAGCAGAACTTCAAACTGTAAAGGGAGGAACTCTTACAGACTTGACTGAGAATAGTGCTTCAGGTATTGCAAAATTATTTGAATCTCTCAAATCTTATTACCAGCTTTCAGTAAAGAGCAAATGCTACCCTCCTTGCTCGACTCATGTTGGATGAATTACCTAAATCTCAAGTCTTATTTGTTATCTTCGCATGCTTTCAGTTTGACCCTGTTGACCTACACCACTGCTGTACTTCACAGTGGGTGATTAGCAGGGGCAAATCCAGGATTTTTTCTAGGGTACCATCCAGGATTTTCGTTTTAGGAGGGGTTGCACCATTTGGTTACAACTCAAGCACCAATAATGCAGTAGATATCAATTAATTGAATTAATTAATAATAATAATAATGATAGTAGACTCTTCAAAGCGCATAAAACGAGTCTCTGTGCTCTTTACAATAATTTTCAAGACAGTATACAAATGCAAACTAATCTATCTATTTATCTAGGTAACATAAATTAATTAGAATAATGGTACCATGTGGGTCTACTCCCCACTATGAGCGCTCCAACATCTAGGGCAGGGAGCTCCTCCTGCACCCCTTTCCTAGATGCACCCCTGATTAGTGAAGACACGTTTTTTTCTCTAACAGGTAAAAGTGATAAAGCTTCAGAAGCAGATGAAACTGAAGAACATACTGAAGAACCTGATTCTGTYGCTGCTGCTGTGCAAGAAGAAACTTCTTCTCATTCTCAGCCAGACATCTTCAAAGAACCTTTGACTCTCCCAGATGCTGAACCACATGATGAAAACCTTACAGAACAGACTCACCACATCATCATTCCTAGCTATGCTTCATGGTTTGATTATAATAGGTAATATAATGCTTCATATGCATGTATTATACTGGCATCCTGGTTGAGGAGGATGCATGCTGTTGTTAACCCACTTTTACATCAAAGGATTTCCACTGGTTTTCAAAAGACAGCCCACACAAATATACACAGAAAACATTGCCTTACTGTTACAACAATTTTAGTTTCATGAACTTTTATGTTGATCAAAATTTCTGGAATTCACCTAAGTGACTGAAAAAAAAACAACTCAAAGTTGGGATTGGACTTGATGTATCCATAGGTTTACTGTATTTTATCAAGTCCAAGCTTATTGCTAATGACCTTGGAACAAATAGTCATTAACCTGTGCCCCATATGCCATTCACTTGAAGGCCTTTGATAGTAATTGTAATACTCTTTTTTACATTTCAGTTCAGTGACCATGACTTATAGTTCCAAGTTGAGGTTGGAGTTTGCTTGCATAGCAAAAATGTAGTTTATCATGTGCAGCAACTCCATCCTCTCCTTGGAACTATTATTTGTGATCACTGGACAAAACTGTAAAATGAAGCATTGTCAAATAGCATCCTACTAATGTATTAAAAGTAATCTTCCTTTGTTGTACTTTAAGCATCCATGCCATTGAAAAAAGAGCATTACCAGAGTTCTTTAATAGTCAAAACAAGTCCAAGACACCTGAGATGTAAGTCATTTATTATTTCCATTTGCTTTTCCACGGTGTACATGTAGTTCAAACTTTTTTGCTCAAAATATTTTCTTATTTATTCAATATTCACCAGATACCTTGCATTGAGGAACTTCATGCTCGACGCCTACAGACTTAACCCCACAGAATACCTGACTGCAACAGCCTGCCGAAGAAATCTTGCTGGTGATGTCTGTGCCATCATCAGGACACATGCATTCTTGGAGCAGTGGGGTTTGATTAACTATCAGGTTGATGCAGATGCCCGCCCTGCACCCATGGGGCCACCCTCCACGTCACACTTCCATGTGATGGCAGATACCCCAGCAGGTCTGCAACCCTTACAGACACCAAAGAGTATGGCATCTGTGTCGCAGCAAATGATGCATTTCAAAGATGAACCAATCAGTAAAGACGTCAGCAAGTCACCTGCCAGTAGTACTAACTTTGGGTAAGTCTGAATGACGTGATTTAATCAACAACCACCACCAACAGCAACAGTAATTACAATAAATACGAGAGACGTAATCACTGTTATAATACTACTTGAAAAGATTCTATATCATAATATTTTTTTAATTCCTAAAATATAAAGAAATATTTCATGAACCCAGTTTTAGTTCTTGACTTATCTTATCTAACAAGGTATCTGTTTTCAACAATTCAACAGCCTTCATACGGACCAGTATTTGTCAAAGAAGAGCCAAAAGGTAAGCCAATGTTTCTATTCAGTGTGACCCTCACACGATTGTATTTTCATAGACTGGTGTTTTTTTTTTCCTTTCTCCAGGCAGCAACTGCAACTAAAGAATGGACAGACCAAGAAACACTTTTACTTTTAGAGGTAAGATGAAGAAAAATAAAAAACCTTCTGTACAACACTATATTCCCCCTCCCCCCCACCTTTTTTTTTCCTTTATTCGTTCATAACTTTTCCTTTCTTCCGCCCTTCTTTCGTTTATTCCTTTCGTCTTTCCTTCCTTCATTTGTTCGTTCCTTTTTTTCTCGCCAGTCTTTCATTTCTTCTCTTTTTCCTTGTTCCTATTTTTTCTTCTTTCATCCTCTCTCTTTACTCGAATTGCGTCATACCCATTGTGCTGTGTCACCCCGGCAATTTCCCTGTACTGTCAAATATGGCAGGATATGATCACATGACCTAACAGTACATATGGTTTGTCTACAGGGAATGGAAATGTACAAGGATGACTGGAATAAAGTAGCCGAGCATGTAGGCACCCGTACACAAGATGAGTGCATCTTACACTTTCTCCGCCTCCCTATCGAAGATCCATACCTAGAGGACATGAAACTGGGCCCATTGTCCTTCCAACCCGTACCATTCAGCCAACAAGGGAATCCCATCATGTCTACCGTAGCTTTCCTGGCATCTGTAGTGGACCCAAGAGTTGCTAGTGCTGCAGCCAAGGCGGCCTTGGGTATGTCATCAGATTAGGATGCATGCGTTCTTGTACTATCTTATATATCTTTTTTTCATTTCATTTCTTTATTGACTTGTTTTTCATGACAGGGGTGTTTGCGTGAAATGTGAACTGTAATGAGGAAAAAGTATTTTCCATTATTCGTGATAGTTCTAGCATGTTATGAAATTCTTGAATCATGAACCGCCGTGGTCGTCCATTTTCAATCTTCGTGAAACGTGTTTCCCTTACCGATCCTGTTCATAAAAAGTTAATGATCGTTGTAGTAAGATTTTTTTTTTTTTTTTTTTTTTTTTTTTGTTGTTGTTTTTTCTTTACGCAGAGGAGTTTTCCAAGATGAAAGACGAGATACCAGAATCTGTTATCGATAGTCACGTGAAAAAAGCTGCTACTACCAAACAGACCTCCATAGCTAAAGAAGAACCCATAGGTGATGATGTGAAGACAGGTCAGGGAAATGCTTTGCTATTCATGATAACGTTTCGTAGACCCGGCATATCGTTTTTTATTTATGTTTGTTTGTTTGTTTGTTTTTCTGGGTTCTGTAGTTCTTCATGAAACGGGGACCATTTTGGTCAACTGCTTCTCACAAATCTATTTCTTCTACTCCGTCGGTAGTCCCGGCCTACGCAGACGTCTTTGTAGCTGTCACGCAACGTTTGTCTCGTGTGGCAGACACTAAGAATGTCTGCGTAGGAGGCTACTCTGACGGAAGCCTTATACGATTATTATACGTTCATTGCGCTGTGACAATGAACTGCCACTTCATTACAGTTACAACCTTTTTACACGCAGTTTACGTTTCCTTATTGCGTTTACCATACTGTTGCACTCCCTAATCGTTTAAGTATTTTGTTAATGAAATAAAACTTCTATAGCGGATTATACCGATAGAAAGAGAGTAGTCCCATTTTGCATGTCCCATTTTGCATGTCCCATTTTGTGCAATATTTTGATAAATCTATCTTTGTCCTTTAGGAGAAGAACCTATGGAAACTGATGATGTGTCCAAACTAACTTCCGGTGAAGCTAATATTCTAGACAAAGTAAGTTCGTCAAGTTAGATTATATAAAAAACATATTTTAAACCATGAAAACTTTAATCTTAGATTGATAAGTTTTACACCGTAGTGAAAATAGGAACTGACGTTTCGGACGTTAGTCCTTCGTCGGAGTCAGAGTGAGAAACTCTTCCTGCCCTTAAACAAAGCTGTCTTGAAACCAATATGTGATATAGAATGATACATTAATGGGACAATATACTGGACTGTTGATAGGATGACGAATCATCAAAAGATGAAGAGGCCTTCGAATCTGCTTTAGAGATGAACGGAGAAGGTGAACCCAGTAAGAAGACCAAGGCAGCAGATACTAAGGAAGGGAACATTGCTACTGCAGCAGCAGCAGCATTGGCAGCAGCTGCGGTCAAAGCTAAGGTATAATCTTTTAATATGTCTTGCAGGGTTGGCACTCCTCCTGGAATTCAATTCCTAGAAAACTCCTGAGGGTATTTACCGGTACCCACCAGTTTTAAAAATCAATAAAATGGGGTCCCTTTTTTGGACTATTGTTCTGCTCGTGTCACTAAGTTTTGACAAAGCTCAACATCCATGAGACATTTTTTCTGACATTTATTTTCGTTTCATTAGCACCTCGCACAAGTAGAGGAAAGGAAGATCAAGAGTCTGGTTGCTCTGCTGGTAGAAACCCAAATGAAAAAACTCGAGATTAAACTGCGTCACTTTGAAGAACTGGAGACCATCATGGACCGAGAAAGAGAAGCGGTAAGTCTACAACATAGGTTTTTTACTTGGTGCAATAATCAAGATCTTCTTTTTTTAAACGTGCATTAAGATTCAGTAAGAATCATTTCAACTTTACTACTCTCCTCTCTACTGTTACCCCACATATGGGAAGAATTCGGAAGTTTCTTCGGCCGACACTGATCTAATACATCTGTAATTGAAACTACAGCTCGAACTTACTACATTTTCCCTCCATTTCTTAGTTGGAATACCAGCGTCAGCAGCTATTATCAGAGAGACAACAGTTTCATCAAGACCAGATACGAGCAGCTGAGCTGCGAGCACGAGCCGGTTACATGGCATCTCCCATTACACCTTCCAGTCAACAACAGAATGCACCACAAGCTAATGGTGTACCACAGCCACGAACTCCTCAGCCAGTACAACCGACTCAGCCCAATCAGCCACAACAGGCACAGCCACAAGCACCACCGCTGCAACAACAGCAGCAACCACCACCAGCACAAACACAGAAACCCAAACAACCTCAATTAAATCCACAACAGCTGCAACAGAAGTTTTCTCAACAGCAGCAACAACAGCAGCACTCTACGAACCAGCCACAGATGGGAACACCTCAGTTACCGGGTGCCTCTCAGCAGCAGCAATCATATATCCAGCAGCAGTTTCAAATGCTACAGCAGCAACAGCAAACAGAACAAGCTGGACGTCCGCAGCCTCAGATGCACGGTATTTAACCTCAATCATCACATAATGAGTAATGAAAAGATAACGACAGCAACAACAACAAAAATGACAACAACAAAAACAACAACAGAGAAAATATCAACTACAAAGGAAAGTAAATATAACTGTTTTGTTTTGCAATGTTCAGGTGTTCAGGGAAGTACACCCAGCCAAACCAACGTGTCCTCACCAGCTGCAGCAGCATCTCCAAACATAAACCCTGGCTCAGTCAACTCTATTGGCTCACATCCCGCATCAGGATGTAGCACCCCTGCCTCCTACCTCGGCTCTGCTGCAGCTTCGCCTGCTCCTCAAGGACATGGACCGGGTACTCCCGGAGGTATGACTTCAGGACCCCTCGGACAAATGCAGATAGGTGGGGCAGACGGTATGGGGTCTCACGGCTCATCACCTGCTACTCCAGCAAGCGGTACCATGGAATAGATTATCGATAATTGTAGATACCTTCGTACTGCCATCGGATCCTTTTATTGTTGTCTAGCATAATATAATTTCATATAATGTAAAGTCGATTAAGCTTGATGACTCCCTAACTGAGTCATCAGTAGTTCAGTTTTTCAGATGGTATTTTAGATAAATTAGTGGGTATGGATACTAAATAATCCTGTAAACAAGTACTGTTGATGTAACCCTCTTAATCGAGTATTTAGCCAGATGACTGCATAACATGACTAACCATTTACTGTAGTAATAAAGACGACCACTGTATATTATACCAACCTCGTTGATATCTTGACTACCAGTATATCGTGTAAGTTATTGAAAKGGCTAGGAGCTAAAAGCTTTTTAGGGCTAGTGGTGGTGCACTTGCGTCTCACCTCTGGTGTCTCGTGCTCTATTCCTGGATTTGGCACCACGTGAGTAGAGTTTGTCATGTCTCCCTTGATTCGAGGACCGTTTTTCTCCGGTTTTTCTCGGCAAAACCTTACAAGCTACATTCCAATAGGAGATATCAGTGTTACACTCTATTGCCTTCAAACAATTGTCACATTTGGGTCCGTTTCTATACATTTCATTGTATTGACCCAAATCCCTCGACTTGAAACAAATGTTCGAAGGCAACAGAATGTAACTCTGATATCTGCCATTCCATCTCTCCCTGAGTTAGCCGTGCTCTGCCATGCCGTTGATCAGCCCCAGCCGGTGTTTCAGGGTTCGATTGAAGGTTCTTAATGAGACCTTGCGCAGAACAGTTGAGTCCGTCAGCCGATCAGGTGAATTTCAGTTTATCTGGTCATACCTTTCGCCATCTCACAAACATTTACCTTTACTGCTCCTTGATCAAAAATTATAACCTTTGATATCCGACATACTAATGATTGACAGCCTTTTAGATAGTAAAAAGTAAGAATTAATCGCTAACGATTTCCTTTTTACCTGTTTACCTGTAATTAAATATTGACGACCAGATCGATGGCTCCGAGTAGAAAACGGAGGCGAAGCTAAAATTTAAAAAATAAAATAAAAACAGCTGCTGACAATTCAGTTACTAAACATCAATATCGTCGAACCCTGAAACAGCGTTTGAGTTAATGTTAGTCAGAACATACGCACATTTGTTTTTTGGCGACCAATTTGAATAACTGTTGCATGTTCTGGACTGACTAGCCTCTATTACTGGCATGTGAAAACGTTTTTTCGTTTCCACGTGAACATGTATAGCTTAGCTCAACGACACCGGTACACCCCTTGTGGGGGGGGGGRMSGG